TCAGAGGGAAAGTATTCACAGTACTTCAACCCCCTTCAAGGGTAGGGCCACGAACAATCTCAGGTATCGCTTTTTTACCAATTTATAAAATCTGCTATTAAATACAAAACATATCAATCAAAATTTGTGCAATGAATCAATTTCTTTAAAAAAGTCAATAGTTGAAAACGAACTTACATGAAAAATATCTTTCATTGAAATAGAAAAATCAGTACAGTCAAGCAGGACATGATTGACTATTATTCTTTCATCACAAGGGATACAAAATGGGGAATCTTCTTTTAATAGATATTCATGAGTGTATCTGCTATGACCAATACGGCATCGTCTCAAAATGGCCTCTTCACTCTTCAAATATGGACTGAAAACCCAAGTAGGTGTAACTGATAGTTGGTTTTATTTCATGTAATTTATTGATACCTACTTACGTGTCCCGCTTCCTCTGCATTAGATGTTGGTGGACAGATGCATGTCAATCAGCACATAATGCTAGAAAGAGGACAAACAAAACGGTTGAAAAATCATCTTTGCCATCTGTCTTAAAAGAGTTTCGGCGCGCTTCCGCTTTCCTCAAACGAACTGTTACTGAAGCTAAACGTTTGTCTTGGTCTAAGTATACACGTTCTATAAATAAAAATACACTTCTTTCTCATGTATGGAGGAAAGTGAAAAGGAATTGTGGTAGTTCATGTTCCAAACGTACTATTCCATCTATTTTAACAAAGCAACAACAAATACTGACAGGAGTAATGCCCTGGCACAGTCATTTCAAAAAGTATCCAGTACACATAAGTTTACTCCAGACTCCCTACACTTCATTTAGTTTTAAGGGATTAAGGAACGCCATTTCCTCCCCAGACCATTTATGGCCCATTGAACATCTTTGGGATCATCTTGGACGACAGTTGAGTCGTCGAAAGCAACAGCCACAGACAAGACAGCAACTGGAACAGGCACTTCATGAGGAGTGGAGACGGATTCCCGCTAACGTCATCCGACGCCTTACGTTCTCCGTGAGACCTCGTGTTATGGCCTGTATCAACGCCAATGGAGGTGTGTAAAGTTTCTTTTGTTTCTTTCTTATGCTAAAATTGAAACACCCTACATCAGCTTTGTTGGGCGATTGTGTTGAGTATTTTCTAGATCCTTAGAAAGATGATAATATTAAGGGGCCTTATGGGATGAATTCTCAGATAACTGTGTTCAATTATACTGTACGTGATGTTGCCATAGATGATATTACTGTTCTGTCTAAGAAGCCATCATAGTTGCTGGAACTTCCATCAGTATATCTTGATATACCGGAACAGGTAAATATATCTGCGCTAGCACCCCGTGTTAAAGCCATAGCGGAGGAACATATCCGAAGTTTACAGTGGATAAATGCAAAGATCTTTTAGATCTTGAATTTTCATGGATACCCATTCATGTTGAACTACTTGGCAATGAGAAAGATAATAACTTGTCATAAGCTCCATTAGAATTTGGTGAATCAGAACAGGATGAGGCAATATTGCCCTCTTCTGCAGAATTATGCACCGTCAGTAAGATCCATGCTCAAACGAAATGGCAACAAAAATGGACCTCGTCCTTAAAAGGACGCCATCTCTATGGCATAGAGTCCTTTGTGACCAAATCAAAACTTTCTTGAAACAATCGTAGGTAAGAGGTTCTTTTAACCAGACTTCGTCTTGGGGGTTGTGGTCTTTCTGCAAATTGCACAGTGTGTAATCAGCTAGATAATAAGACTCATTATTTACTGCACTGCCAAAAATATGTAAACCGATGGTGGAATCTCTTACAGCTCTCAACATTGACATCTCATTGGCAGGACTATTATGCTCAAGGACTATTGATCACCATGAAGTTCGGAATGCCATTCTTGATTATATTAAAGGGTGTGGCAGCTTTACTACTTTTTGAAAGTTTAGAATATTAGCAAACCTTTTTGATGGGCAAGGTGTAAATGGGCCTAGTTGCCCGGACATCTATCAAACTTTTAATAATCAATCATCATTCAATCACAATGATGACGTTTTGTAAAGAAATAGTATTGTTTTTGCCGCAGCTACATGAATCCAATATTCTCAAAATCACCTGTACATTTCATTTTTAAAGAGTGTAGTACTTATGTTAGGTTGGTTCTAATATTGCTTGTTGAATAAGCGTGAACGACCATGAAAAGCCTCCAAATAGAGAGCCCAAGTCTGTATCATTAATTTGAACATCTGTATGGATTTTTTTTTTCTTAAGCCGCGTTTTGCCGGTGATATCACATTTGTCAGACTCACTGAGGGTGAAGGCTCAACCCTACAGTAATAATGGATCAGTCCGATCAAACTCTGGTGGTAAACTCCCTAAACCCCTACAGCCTATAACCCTTACAGCTAAAAACAACAAAGTCTAGTGCACTGCTAATCTCCTGTCTGTTACCTGTTTCATACAATGAACCAGCCCAAACACTTAGAAATTAAGAGATTGGTTTTAATGAGTGGTATGGGTTATGGGCTGGTGGTATTTTTGGAGACAAACTTTCTGGTCACCACTCCCCTAATTAGATGCTCCCATGTTCTTTAGAATCAAGTAACTAGCGTAACACAGTGTTTGCTTTGAATAATAAGGACATAATCCTTTTAAATGATCTACTCGAATATAAACCTATTTGTACTGAGTGTGTATGATTTACCCTTTCTAATAAGTAAACCATACGTCTGTATAATTGCTCCTTTTTTAAAAGATTCTTGTCAATGACTTCTCAACTGACATTGCGGATGTTTGAACTAAGCAATGTATATGTATGTATGTTTCACAATGGTAGGAAACATGACAATTTATGGCAGGTTTGCAGAAAGTAGATTGTATCACATCACAAAGAGGAACAACACAGGTGCTTTTTCAGATTTTGTCAGAGACTCCAGTGAACATAATCATCCGCCACCAGACGAAACACGACTCGGTTTCATCAGCTCCCTTCGTAAACGAGCGCGAGAAGAACCTCCAATGTCTGTGCCATCACTCTACCAGAAGAGGGGAGTGGAGCTGGGTTTTTCAGGGCATTATCATTTGCGGAAGCCCTAGGTCTTCAGTTAACTGGCCGACGAAGGATAATGCCCAGAAAAACAGGGCTACCCCTTTTATTGCTAAAATGGATGGAACTTGTGTTAAATAAAGACAAAACAGTGTCGTAAATGTATTTGTAAGTTTACTTGAAACAACTCGCAACGGGCTGTTGACCCAACAGTGTCAGGTCATGGAACAAATTTATGACGTCAATATTGACAACAGCCGCCCTCGCTCGCACCCGCTATGGCGTCATTTGACAACAGAAGTCATAATGGCCCGTCTAATTGGGGGGGGGGACAACGTTTTGCCGACGTGTCATTTATATTATTTGAAACAAACAATGTCGGTTTACACAATGATTCATTAAAGGGGATATGTTAAATGTAAACTTCTTAACATATGTTAGATGGATAAACAAAGCATACTTAATTACACTCAAGAAAAATGCAATTGTTTACTGTGCATTCATCTACATAACAATGGAGTTATTTTTTAGTTATTCCCGGTGTGTGGTAGACACGAGATGGTATATTGTAAGTTAAATACCAGCCACGAAGATTTATCAGTAAAGAACATGTTACAACAAATGTTTATACGGCAGTAATAACTGAACCAATCATCACTAGACACACTTGGCAACATACAATAATTCATACATAACATCCTTTTGTATAGGAAACAAAGTTAGTCTTAGTTCTAGGCTAATTGTTTTGCGTTAAGACATCACAAGTGTAGGAGTATGTAATTATGTATATATTTGCAAGTGTATTTTAATTTGTATTTTAATCACTAAATCTAGCCCAAGCTTAACCACTCAATCTAACCTGCTTCACTTTCACAATAGCACGGTCACCCAAAGCTATCTTTTCAGCTTTGACCTATATTAAACAGCAGAATCATTCCAAAAACTTCATCGTTTTCACAGATTAATTATCTTGCCTTCAAGCACTTCAAAATGTTACTTCAAGTCACCCACTCATTCTGGACATTTTAGGACTTTACAACGACCTCTCTACTAGCCAATGTGACATCGTCATCTGCTGGTTGTCGGGTTACGTCGGCATAGCAGGTTACACAAAAGCCGATGCTGCAGCAAAAGCAGCTCTTGACAAGCCCTTATCTCCACTGCTGATCCCGTACAGTGATTTCAAACCCACTATCAAAAGCTATACTCGGGACCTCATGCAAAAACGATGGGACACTCAAGTAGGAAGAAATAAACTGTATGAATTGAAACCGACAATTGGTTATACCTACTTGGGTTGTCAGTCAAGACGTGATGAGGTAATTTTACGACGATGTCGTATTGGCCACAGTCGATTTACTCATGACTATCTGCTGAAAACGGATGGGGATGGACACCCCATGTGTGTCTCTTGCGATGAGGTTTTCACCATCAAGCATATTCTACTTGAATGCGTGGACTTATCGTCTGCAAGGGACTCACATTATGATGCAACAAACCTAAAAGATCTGTTCTCCCGCGTGAGCGCTTATCTGATAGTGAACTACCTGAGGGAAGTTGACCTGTATCATAAATTGTAACTGTGAAATGTGACTATCATAAATTGTAACTGTGAAATGTGACTAACAAATTGCCTGCCTTTAAATTTGATGCTATGACCTCTTCTGCTTTTAAATGCGATGTAATGAATATATGTTTTTGAAATAAAACTCATTCCGAGTATGTACTTACAATGTTTATTGATGCAAACTTGTTCTCGCCGCTGTAAATATAAACCAAATTAACTATTTGTAATATGTAGCATAACTAGGTCTTAGCAATACTTTACATGTATGAATGTATGTATGTATGATGAGATAAGTTATTGGAACAGATATTTTATGTTTAGTAGAGTGATAATATGCAGATGTAGAACGTTACATAGTATTGATTTTATATATGTTTATGTTCAGGTGTGGCAAACATATTTCCGGACGTTTGTGACGTCAAAGGGGCACAGTGCCATACACTCGGTGAGGGTTCTTTCGTATTATAGTGTCAATGATTATGTTATGTACTTCATTCGATTATTTTGAAATATAAACATTATATATATATATATACAAACATGTCTACTCTGTGACCTGATTAATCAGTAATGATTGTATTGCTTATATATGATCGTAGTACTTATTGCTAAGCCTCACATGTATTGGCCCATGAAGTATTGTAGCGTATTTTGATGCAATGTATTTATTTTTTACAGGACCTTCTTCAGTTATTATTGCCATTAAACTGACATCTACAGAAACTATTTGCCTTTGTGGTATATACCAAATCACTCCGGTTACATTGGCGTCGTTGGCAGGATGTAGATGTTCAGAAGTAACAGTGAAGCAACCAGTGACAAGGGACAATGATGGACATCAACTTTCCATAGATGGAAGGGAACCGTAATGACCAAGTAATGTAACACTACGGTACACAACCAGACAGTCTGTTACGCATGAGTTTCGGCCTTGATCTTCCTACTCGGCGTGTAGATATTTGAGACTCTTGTATTGTGCAAGTGATATTGACTCTGATTGAAGCACATTCCACATTCTGTGTATCCCAGTGTGTGTTTTGTGAATGATATATGAAGAGAAGAGGATAACTCTGCTGTGAACAAGCCAACCAAAATTTATTTTGGATTATGTTCTTGTATGCAATGCAATAATTCAGAATTGCCTGTGATGTATTTGCTTTCTGGTCTTTTTGCATAGTGTACTTCGTTTATAGTGTTGATCATACCGGCCGGTCATTAGTCACATCATGTTAGTTTTGTCAGTATATAGTCATTAGTTAGATTATTTATTAGTCTTGTCAGTTGATAGTGATAAATTAGGCACAGGCGGATCAGCCAATTAACGTGTCAGAACTTTGCTGAAGAGACGCGTCCTCAGGCACTCCAGTGGTCGTCGGTTTTAATCACTGTGCGTTCCGCTGATGTTTCTATATTTGTCAGCAAGTTAACTATGCTCGTGGTTTGCACTGAGTAGTAAAAGTCTGAGACCTGCATCACTTAGGGTTTCCCTCACACATCAAGCTGACATGCCGTGATATAACTGAAATAGTGTTCACAGCGGCAGTACACCCAGCTCACCCAGTCATTACTGGTTAAATTAGCTTGTGAATTAGTTATTTTGAGATTAGTTATTTTGTGATATTGTAAGTATTCTATTAGTACGTTTTATTTAGTTGATATTCCACATCTGTTTGTCGGAATAATACATTTGTCTGTGTGTGAAAGATGTATGCCCGATTAGCACCTACTTATCACTCAAATACCTTGAATAAACAATTAAAATATAATGTAGTTCCACAATAAAGCACTTACATCAGATTATATTCAATCCATAAATAGGTAAGTATTATTTGAGTTTGCTGGTCATATAATTCAGTTGGTCATACAGTGTGTGTGTTTTTTTTGTCTCTTCAGGGTTTAGTTCTTGGTCTCTCATCTTGGATATATTGTCCTTTTCGTCCTTTTGTGCGTGTGTTTATCTGCAGCGGTCGCAAAGCTTACACCTGCACATCATGACTAACCATTGCACACGTATTGTATACTTAGTACTTTGTTGAAGGTTATGTTTTAATTCTGGGTAGGGCATCACTATGCACATTTCGCTGCGCTGTGGTGATCCACTGCATTCACATTTCTTCTGTGCTAACTGTGCCATACTTTACAGTTAGTGTTTTTTCCCCTCCCCAACATTTCGCTCATTGCTCGCTGTTAGTACCACTAACAGGTATGTCAGAACATATGCCAGAGAGGAAGTTGCTCAGCTTTTGGCAACATTCAAGCAGCTTAAAGTAAAGCCTAAGGCTGATTCCCCAGAAAGTTTGTTAAAATGGATGGCTGATTATTCAGCCGGCTCTGTGAAAACAGAAGGTGTTTCACATGCCTCTGAAACTCAGTATCCTGGTCACCCATCAGCAGCTCAGGTGGTTACTGTATCTCACCCTCCAAGTTTACCTTGCTTTTCCGGAGATGAAACTAAAAGTAACGTGTCTTATGATCTGTGGAGATATGAAGTGGATTGCATATTGAAGGATAAAGCACATACAAGGACGACAATCGAACATTCGATTAGGAAGTTTTTTGAGAGGAGAGGCAGCTAGGGTTGCCATGCGACTAGGTTCCACCGCTTCTCTTCTGCCCTCTTGGATAAACTGAAGTGTGTTTTGGCACAAGTGATAGTCCTGTGAACGTACTGGTGGCCTTCTACACAGCACGACAGCGGGAAGATGAAGATGTTAACACTTGGTGTTGTCGTCTAGAAGATTTATTGAGTAAAGCAGTAGAAGCTAGCGAGGTTAGCCCTCTAGACACCAACAAGCTTCTCCATTCTATGCTTTGGACGGGACTTAAGCCATCAATCAAGGATGTCAGCGGACACAAGTTTGATCTATTCTCGGATTTTGATGTTTTGCGACGAGAACTTCGACAGACTGAGCGGGAGCACACTCAATGTAGAGGGGGATGGTAGAACTAAACGGAAACTGACTGCCACAACTATGTCTGCTGTTTCTAAAACACCCACTCAAACAGAGGTGAAGGAACTTCGAGGAATGATCAAGAGCATTACTTCTGAGGTCGCATCTCTGAAGAAACAACAGCAGCAGCCTCCTCTGCATCACTATCAACAGCCTAACAGAGAACAAGATAACGTTCAATCCAGGACTTAAAATCAAACTGACAAGGGCATCATTGGATATTATTCTTAACCTTCTTTCCAGAGACATTAGTATGATCATCCATCATACAGAGGAAGATCTAGCGGACGACCTATTGAGAGAGATGTGCAGTGTTTTCGTTGTGGACAGTTTGGGCATATAGCCTCAGGATGTAGAGTCAGGATGGATCACAGTCGCCAGCATTTAAACGGGAGACGGCCTATGCGAAGGGGTGGACCATAGGTCTCAACAGACGACAGATGGTTACTCTGAGATATGAAACAACAGCACTTGTAGGAAATGCCAATGAAGTTCATGTCTGTATTCAAGGAATCAAGACAAGGGTTATATTGGACACAGGAGCTACAGTCTCTACTGTGAGTCAGGCATTTTATGATCAGTATCTTTTAGGTATTCCTATCACCCCAATCACAAATGTGTTGGATATTGAGTGTGCTGATGGACAGCCCCTGCCATACTCTGGTTACATTCAGGTGGACTTAGAGGTTAATGGGATTGATGCTGAACGCCAGCCATGTCTTCTGCTTGTTGTTCCTACAAGCAACTATAATCACAAGGTACCGGTTTTACTTGGGACCAATATGTTATCGGTTTACTTAGGAACCTGTAGACAACAGCATGGGGAGAAGTTTCTGCAAGATGCCAACCTTCATACACCTTGGTATTTAGCTTTTAGGTGTATGGTACTGCAGGAACAGTATCTTGTTCGACGAGAATTGAAGCTCGGACTAGTCAAGTGTGCAGGAATGAAGAAGGTTGTCATCCCATGCAATTCAGAAGTCACTATCACTGGCTGCATTGACAAGGCACTTTCTTATCGCAATACATGTGCTATATTGCAAAGTACTAGCCGTTCAGCTATTCCTGAAGACCTTGACATCTCACCCAGCTTGATAACATACAGAGAGAAAGGATTTGTAGATGTCAATATTTCAAACATTACCACAAGATCAGTAGTCATTCAACCCTGTGCCCGTCTGTGTGAGATACAGCCTGTTGTTGTTGAAGAACAGCCTTCTATGGCAGATGTGTCACAGGACAAGGATTCACTCTTTAATAGGATGGATATAGAAACTTCACAGATCTCAGGCACTCAATGTGAAGAGGGATTAAGGGTTATCTCGGACTACTTGGACATATTCTCTCATGGTGATCTTGACCTTGGACACACTAGTGCAGTGAAACACAAAATAGATCTCATGGATGAACGGCCCTTTAAACAGCGACATAGGAGAATTCCACCATCTATGCATGCTGAAGTAAGAGATCATCTGCCGCAACTAGTGGAGTCATCCGTCGATCACGATCACCTTGGTCTTCCAATGTGGTATTAGTACGCAAGAGAAATGGGACTCTAAGGATGTGCTTTGATTTTAGTCAGTTAAATCAAAGGACTATTAAGGACTCCTACGCACTCCCCAGGATTGAGGACATGTTTGATACACTTAGAGGATCAAATTTCTACTCCACAATGGACATGAGGAGCGGATACCACCATGTTGAATTAGAAGAACATCACAAGGAGAGAACTGCTTTCTCCATGGGACCTTTTGTTTGTCCAACAGTCCCGCCACGTATCAACGCCATATGAATGACTGTTTTGAAGATATGCACTTAAAGATATGCCTTATCTACATGGATGATGTCATTGTCTTTGCTGATACCTTTGAAGAACATCTGGACAGACTAAAGAAGGTGTTTAAGAGGCTCAGAGACTGTGGATTCAAGCTCGCTCCAGATAAGTGCAGCTTCTTCAAAGACAAGATCAAGTTCTTAGGACATATTGTATCAGGACAAGGCATTGAACCAGATCTGGCTAAAGTTGAAAAGATAAAGACATGGCCCCAACCAAAGAACCCAGCAGAGGTTAGACAGTGTCTTGGATTTGCAAGGTATTACCGGAGATTTGTGAAGAACTTTGCTGCAGTCACCAAGCCCCTGTCAAGTCTTATGCCTCCACCAACACAGACAAAGAGAACACGGAAGAAAGTTGTCCAACAGCCGTGGATATGGGGATCTGAACAAGAGAAGGCATTCCATCACTTAAAACAGCTTCTGGTTTCGCCTCCTATTCTAGCCTACGCAGACTACAGCCTACCATTTGAGCTCCATACAGATGCTAGTACACATGGACTGGGCGCTGTTCTCTAACAAGAGCATGATGGAAAGAAGCGAGTTATTGCGTATGCCAGTGGAGAACTAAACAAAGCTGAGAAGAACTATTCAGCACATCGTCTTGAGTTCCTGGCTTTGAAGTGGGCAATTACTGAAAGAGTTTATACAGATAACAATCCGTTGACCTATATTAGGACATAGATGGTTAGCAGACTTGGCAGAATCAACAATGCGGATGCAGATAGTATGTCACGTCTACCAGAACTGGAGACAAGTGGAGGGCATGAGTATATGCCAGGCGAGTCAGTAAAGGATGTGTGCAATGTCATTCATACCCAACCTTATGTTGAGAGTTTATGTATGCAGGCTGACATTACTCTGGAAGAGAACCTAGACACTATTGGTGTCCCTTTATCCAGGATGTCAAAACGGGACTGGAGAAAGGCACAGTACCAG